GTCGCTCCTCTAACTCACGTGCCGCCGTCTCCCTCACCAGCATGGAAGCGCCACGCCGCCCCGTGGCCCGCCCCAATAGAAGCGCCAGCGAGGCAGGGCGAGCTGCCGAGGCATCAGGCTGGCGCGGGCGCAGGAGCGGCGCCTGGGGATCAGACGCCACCGTAGTAGACTCGGATAAAGATGTGGAAGACATGTGGGAATTTGATTCCGGGTTTTTCTTTTCTAATTTTCTGGGGGGTTTAGAATGAGAAAATGGGCATAATTGAACTATTATTAGCCCCAAAAACAAAACTCTATTCCTTGGTTTAAAAACGAAAGAAAGAGAGGAGACGAAAGGGAGGTGAGATAAAGCTTGTTGAAGGGAAAGTCATAGCAATTATAGAAAGGAAAGGGAAAGAAGGGAATGTTTGGATCAAAGTGCTGTTGTTGGTTTGGTTTAAGAGCAGAGCTGACTGTTAGATGGCAAAAAGGCTTCTGTTTTTGTTGAGTTAGAAATAAAAGGATATTTCTGTTGTTTTTGCTCTCCCTTTTCTCTTTTTTGCCCTTTCGCGCTTTCTTTTTCCTTTGGCCCTTTTACCGGGTCGGCACCGCATCGCAACGGCGCAGCCTCTCTGTGGTGTTCCCCATCTGCTACATCTTGTTGTCTTTTTTGTTTTGTTCCTCTTTTTTATTTAATTTTTTTAAATATGACGAAAAAATTAAAGTTAATTACTTTCATTCGATTCTTTAATTAATGGTAAAAATCATTCGATATGACTTTATAAAATACTCTCAATCTATTTCTATGACATAATATTTTACAAATTTTAAATAAATTATTAATCAATTTATGATATTTAATTAAATTCTTATATTTTGATAAATCAATAATCATTAATTAAAATATTATTTATTATTTTATATTCATATAATATTAACATAAAAAATAAAAAAATCACATAAGTATTTATTAATATATCATATTATTATTTACTATAACATAACAATATATTGTGTTAATATCATATAACTTAAAATTATGAGTGATATATTGAAAAAAGATAATTAGTCATAAAAATTAATTTTATTTTGTATTTATCAGGAATAAATTTTGAAAATTTAATTTTGGTTGTGATGGTTATATTTACATCACATTTTTTAATATATTAAGATTTATCATGTTTAATAACATAAAAGTTCATTGCTACTAATAAACTAAACCAACTAATTAAAGATATGGGAAGAATTAAGAGTATGAAACATGAAGAACACCCATACCTATAGTTAGCTTCTTTGCATTTAATTGGCTTCCACTTGATACTTGAGGAAATTTACTTTTTGCTATTTCTTCTTGTAAAAGTCTTCATTTATTTTATGACTAAATCTTATGGTAACTCTTTAATAATGTCAATCATCAGTTCATCATTGCCCTCACTCACTTCATCTTTTGCTAAGTAATTCACTTTTTCTTGAACCTCATATTACTCTTATTGCTCTTAATCATTCAAATCTATTATTAATAAACTTATTGTTATCTCCACCACTTTATACTGTCCTTTTTCAAATGAATATTTCTTGATCTATGAATAATTACACCATAATGTTAAAATGCATGCAAAAATGGTTAAATGTTCATTTTAAAATTTAACCATCGTCGAATTGTTTATTTTAGAATTTAATTTATTAACTTTTTGAATTAAATTTTGAGGAAACTAGTTCTTAAAATAAGAAACAAATTATTTTAACCCTTACAAATTTAAAAATAACTTGATGGTTTATTCTTTTACATTATAAGGAAATTGTCCTCACACGTGTTAGCCGACATGTAAATTAATTATTTATTAAAAATATGTTCATTTATATGTCTTATTGTTATTGTTATTATTATATTTATTTTGCCAAACACAATAATCGATATATGTTAAAAAGTAATAAAGATAATAAATAGTTAGGTATTGACGCGTCTACAGCAGGGGATTCAAAGGACATGACATGTGGCGTTTGACCGTCAGTCACTCACAGAATAACACACGTGTCCTTGGCTCTTTGCTTTTCCAGTGGCTGAATTGGAGGTGAAACTCTTCATTAAAAAAAATTAAATTCTAAAATTTAAAATAAATAAGGTAAAGATCAAGAATATGTAAAACTTAATTAATTCATACATAAAATTTAATGAAAGCATATTTAAGAAGAAAAACTTAGTTATAAAATTTAGTAAAAATGATTGTTTAAATAAAATATAAAAACTTATTCAAATCTTCAAATAGTTCACTCGATTTACATTGGAAAAAGAAATGAAGCTGCAACGTCAAGTTGACGTACAACAATAAATGATGGGAAAACGAAGGTTTTCTGTGTTCTGTTTTTCACTCACCGAGTTTCCATCTGGAAATTTCCTCCAACAGTTTACCCGTATCGGACAAGTAATTTACACATGCTTTCTAGTATGTTTGAACAGCGTATCTAGGAAGAATGTTGCTAGCAGAAATTGAAGCAGACAAGTCCGAGCAACGAAGCAAATACTCATCAAGAATTTTAGTCAGCCTTGAAACTGAACCTTTTTCTTCTACTAACAGAAACCATCCTCAATTAACTTCAGTCAAAATTTTCCCATCCCTTGGACATCCCTAATCTCGTACTTAGAGGCAAAGCATCAACACTATGCAAAACAAAGTGGTAGACCTCTAACATTGTTTTGAACTAGCCATACTAATAGGTAAACCTTTGACCATTCAACTAGAGAAATTCTGAAGAGGTACAACATATGCTGCTTATATGATTCCAGATAGTCGGCGTACAAAATCAGCATGCAGTGAATGGCCACCCTGTATCATGTTCAAAGTTGCAAAGTCAATTGAATGGTTTAAATTTACTGACAAAAAGGAAAATTTTAGTGCTGATGATACCAAAACCATCACATCCAAGGTACAAATATATTATACTAACTACCAGCAAAGTAATGAGGCTAACACACTAGCACCAGTGTAAACTCGGGATGATTATAAACTATCACTTTAAAACAGAAATGTTGCACCATGAATAAATGAAGATTCCACTGACTACCAAACATTTTGAGTAGGATTTATTTTTGGTCAAAACCTTCCAAGATATTAGATGGAAAGAAATATGAATAATGTCTAAGAAATCAATCACAAGCAACAAAGCAAAAGAGTATCAGAAAATGTGCAATTCGCTGAATCTATCTCTACATAACTCTGCAGTTAGTTCAGACTTCAAGCCACATGTTTCCAGTTGTAACAAGAGAATGCCAAAATCAATTCATGACTGCTATCTCATTTCCCTGCTAGCAGTCTACAGCTATACAGATGAAAACATATCCCAATCTCAGTGCAGCTGCTTGTTATGAAAAATAGAGGAAAATTTTCAAGGATAAAAGCACCATCCACACTGCCTCAGCTAATCAGATGTCAAAGAAGAGAAGGTCTGCAGTTGGCATGCCTTGAGGCCAAAATTATTGCTGCCAATATTTCACAGAAAAATTACCACCGCCACTCTTCCTCCTTAAACCCAAACTAAGTGCTTCACATGTATACTAGATTATGGTCAATGTTCATTCAACTAAAATGGAAGGAAGAGAAAAAGCCTACTATGATCAAGCATGGAAGTAATTTTCATGATCTACCAAATCAACACTCAAGTGCCACCGTGACACAGATTCTTTGATGTACCAATCAAGTGATGTGAAAGATGAGGAAGTAAAGGAACACACTTCACCAATATGATAAAGCATGGTGGTGACTTGAGGTGAGAGCAGGTGCAGGTGGAGAGGGTGGCAACATGAACCTTGCTTTTGCATTTAAACAGAGAGATGAGGGCCAATAGAGGATGTAGACTTATACAACTGGAATGGACTAACTAGGATAAAGGAATAATGAAATCAAGCATTATTGGAATTATGACTTGGAAGTTCTGAAGTTCAGGAATACATATCTTCACCATGTCTTTTGTTTCTTTAATAAACACATACACCATTGTTGGAATGGAAAGAGAAACAAAATGTCAGGTCAGTTTTCATTATTTTCTTCATATAATTAAAAGGAAGAGACTTTAAAATCAGTTCTGGGTCTCATATCCACTTTCCTGTGAAACTAAAAGTTTAGCTCATAGAGTATGAAACAGAAGTACAGAATGAATTATAACTAGGTACATGATCATGAGAGGTCAATGCTGTCCTTGCTGCATACCTAGGTACAATGAGCGTAAAGAGCAAACAAATGGAAAAAAAAAAAAAAAAAGAAACAAAAACTTGCTTAGAACTTATAGCCTGCACTGACTCATTAGTAAAAACTAGACCATATGTTAAATTCCAAATTATATAAACAAAAAAAATGAAATTGGCCAAAGAATTTTCTGCATTTTTCTTCTCTAATCAGAACATATGGAAATCTTCAAATGAAGGTACAAGATAGAAGCAAAAATGCAAGCATGCACATCCTTAAACCTTCCAGGAAACACACAACAATAAATTTGGTGCACCAGATTCCAACATCAAAACCCATGGCATAAAACTCAAGTCCATATCCACAGATCACAGATTTCCCTGGCACAAGGCATAGATTATCTTTAACCACTTTTTACACAGAGAAATAATTATCAGTAATAAACAGATCACATATGCCAGGATGATAAAAAAAAGTGAGAAGAAACAAATACCTTGAAAGCCACTACGTGTGCCACGGGAAATCCTTGACTACCAGGCAATGCAAAAAGGGAAAGGTCACCTATAAGATCCAAGACCTTATGGCGACAAGGTTCATCATGGAAACGAAGAGGTGGGTTCAACCATCCTTTACTGGCACTGCAGAAGAAAAAGAGTACTAAGTATTTCATGCACACAGAAAGAAAATCAACTAATTCTTGGTTTCTAATATTCCACAGCATGCAACTCATGTCAAGAAACAAGAATGTTGTTGAGGTTTGAACAATTTTACATGATTTTTTTATGTTCAAATATGAACCTCATAAGATATCTAACGCAGCTCAATGTTTGTCAAGCAACCATTTGTTACTCATGTAAAACAGAATCAAGGTTTGCTTCAGCATGGATCAATGATTCATGTACAGAAAACAAAAACCAAATGCCATCTATGTTGCTTGCCCTACATCAGATTGTACCCAACCTAGAACCAGGTAACAGCAATGTTGTGTTCCATCTTGTTTATTTATGTATTAATAACATAATTACTTAGTCACTCACGAAACTATTTGCTCAACTTCACCAATGTTTCACAATTACAAGTTGTAACTTTTACAAAACAGAAAGCTCAATATAAAAGTTTCCCAACTTGCAGAATTAATTGTTTTAATATAGATTGTACTTGAAGATTCAAGAGAAAAAATTACAACATATCCCACATTTATCATAGATTGTTCAGGAAGCAAACGTGTTTGCTCTAAATGGAGTATAAAATTGGTTTTGCCATGTGGGGTTGTGTGTGTGCGTATATGACACCACATACAGGGATCACGTGATCAGCTAATCTGAATTAAACTTAGCATTAGCATCTTACCTACACACGATTGCATTGTCTAGTGAGCCCCCTTTAATGAGTCCTGCACTGCACATATGCTCCACCTGAAACGATTTCACATAGATTTACCTTTAGCAACATAGAACAACAATGAACTACTTAAATTTTTTGTGAAAAGACATATGAGGGAAAGAAATATCGCTAGCTGAGAAATCAACTTCCCTGACATGATACAGCAAACTGTAACCAAATAAAAATATAGATAATTTTCTTTCAGTTCAGTCAAAAGAGCAGCAAGACATTGATGTGACACTCCCTCTGTCCCCTTAAAAAATTTGTCCTCTTTGCATACTTTTAGTTATCCAAAAATTGATGTCAGTTTCTCTGTTTCTCAAAGTCAAAACCCACTATCTAGCTCTCCTAAACCAGTACTACAACATTCTTTGTTAATTTTCCCACATATCTCCAACTTCAATGCTTTTACTCTCAGGACAGTTTTGGATAAAAAAATTCTCATTTCAGACAGCAAATGCTGCTACCCAGATTAATTTTTATAAGATATAGCAGCAAGTTATTGATGTTATAATTTACCCTCTGCTCTTTGAAATATGCATAATACTTTATAAAGTCATTGTTGATAACATTCTTTACATGTAATAGCTCTTCCACTCTTTTTCCCTTTTCTTTTCCCAAGAAAAATGATAATTCAAGGTGCTGATAAAAGGATATTAAACTAGATAGGAATAAGGTGTGAATCAAGTACTCCAAGGCACAATCAAGTTGAGCAGAGCAATATAGCAATCTTAGTTCATTACTTAAAAATGTTTTCAAACGGAATGTACTGGGAGTAATATTAATCATTGGAGATATAAAAGTTCATAAAGGCTCTGATTTGCATGGGATAATGAAAAGTAGCATGTGGAGATAGGAAAATGCATGGGAAACAAGCACCAAGTGCAGCAAAATAGCATCATTCTGCTATTAGCTTTAGCTTATCTGATGGGGGGCATAGTTGTTCAAGAAGATAAAACAAAAAAAAAGATGGTAATGACTACTAACATGTTGCCACAGTAACATTCCAGATGAATTGCATCTATTTTCTACTTTTTCTGCACGATGACTTCATGGTGTTTCAATTGAAAAGAATCTGAAAAGAAAAATTCATGGTTGAAGATGCCATCGATTCTTTATGGACAACTGAAAAGGATAAAATAATATTCATACATAGAAAAGTCCAACTGAGGTTTATATATTGCTCTGATTTTTCAAATGAATCAACTTAGCAACAACAGAGAGATTGTCAAATTTTATCCCTGGATGTGTGAAAGAAATTTGTCAATGATAAAAGGAAATTTCACTAAGTAGCTTCAAATCACTCCTTAACATACATCAGCTATGATGTACATGAACTAGCACCTTTCAAATTTAGTGCAAGAAGAGACTAAATTCATTTTTCTCTTGCAATGGCAAGGTTGATAAACATTCATGTCTCCATAGATTATATAACCATAAAAAAAAGGCAGGAAATGAAAAAATGGATTCAGATTGGAAAAAGTTGAATTAACCTCCTCATAGATACAGAAAGTTCTTGAAGAAGCTATATGCTTTTTGTAGGAGTCACCAAAAGCAGCTGAAGAAAACCATTGGCATCCAATTGCAGGCACCTGCAAACATTTTAAAAAAGGTATTGAACATAAGCCAATAACATATGATATGTAAATCGTATTTTTCCACATAAATCAAAAGCATTCCAGATAAATTGTGTGTAAGAATTAACGACCAACAATCTTCTTCATCTTTGGTTGTAAACATCAAGCTGCCAAACCATAAAAAAAAGCAATAGACAACTAAAATGGAGATGTAAACACAAACAGAGTGTCAAGGTAAAACAATTGAATTGAGGTAACCTATGTAGGGCAGTAAATGAACCAGTGTGCTCATTGAACAGCTCATTAACAAGCTCCATTAGACCTCACTTATGTTTAGTGTTTAAGCTCGATGGATGACTTTTGAATGAGATTTATAGGTTCATTTACTTTAAGCGCAATCAATAAACAAGCCAAGTTCAAAAAAAGGCAGGTGCGACTAGCTTAGACTGGTGAACAAAATCATTGTAAAATTGTCTAAAACTTGCTTTTAAGTTTTTATTATGCTTTAAAAACTTCCATAGTACTATATTATTATGCATACTATATTTCACATTCTTATACATGTTAAACATAAGATATTCAAAAATCTAATACTATGAGGCATGTAACTTTGAAAGACATCTGTAAGCCGTTCTAATGAGAGAAAATAGAGGGGTCAAACTATGTGCAAAGCTCCTTCCACTATCAAGAATATTACTATCCTTAATACTACAATCCCACATCATGGGGAAAGCTGTGAGAAGGTCATGTGCCTAGAAATGGCCCCCAACCCTTCTTCTTTGTTCTGAGGGAGGGTGGCAGCACTTTGAGGATTCCCATTAACAGCATTTGGTCTGTTGAGTGATGAATATTCGTATTTCTTTTCACCATCTAGTTGGTCTCTAGTCCCACATCTGAGCCAGGATATATATGCATGAAAGCAATACTAATTTTCTTTTAACAGTAGCAAGCAATTACTAGTTCAGTTATTTAAATTGTCTTGACATTTATGCTTGATTCATTCTAAGGACATTAGAGATAGCAATTTATTGAACTTGAAATACTCCCTATGATAGAAATTTTAGATCAATCCAATGCAACAGCAGATCTACGCATTTCAATAAACGAAAGGAGCAAGCATGAAAGTAGTGATGCACATATCTTAGACAGTAAGGAGAAAAAAAAGTGGGAAAAGGACAAATTAAAGATCACTACGTGGGACAGAAGAAAAGATGATACAGTTTTATTTTTCCACAAAAGAGAAAAACAAGAAAATTCCCATTTTGAATTCAATGTGAAGAACAATCAGAACTGAGAACAGATCGTACCTTCGGAAAGTCAATTCCATAACTTATGCGAACCTTTGGAGAAGGGAATGCAACCATAAAAGAATCATTCCTTGAAACATGCAATGGTTCATTCAAATATGGTGCCAGTTTCTCAGCATTGTTGCCACACCTATCCAAGGCCTCCTTTCTGCCAACTTGATCTATTGCCTCTACCCATGCACTTGCTGACCCATCAAAAATAGGAACCTGTGTTAATGTTAGTTAACATTCCCATGTCATCAGCTCCTAAATAATTGTATTAGAAAAGACCCATGAGTATCATTATCGTGTTTGTACATTTAACCACCACATTTTATGTTCCACTAAACAGTTCTCTATACAAATTCATTCAACATGTTCCTTAGGCCGGCATGCATAGTTGCAGAAAAGACTTAGTGTTTACGATATGGCCTTCATAGATTCTGTTGTTGCTTTGGGCTATTTGCAGGTTGAGAACTTTTACAAAGAAAAAGAACCATTAAGTAAAATGCAACATCGATTTTGAAATATTTGTTCCGTATAAAAGGAAAATCATGCCTTTTATTCTCTAAAAAACTGCCAATGTTTTCAATATAGGCAAAGTTGACTTCTTATTTTTCAAAAAGAAAAAGGAAAGAACTAATTAAAGTAACAATCAAATAAGAAATGAATCATATAAGCTTCAAATTTATTGCACACGTTGAAGCATATTAAATCAACTTAGATAACCAAACAAAGCTTATGGTCCCAACCTCGACCTCAGGATCCTCAGAACCGAAACTTTGAATCTGAATTCTACAATTATCAATGCCTTTAGCTTCCAACGCAGAAAGCAAATGCTCGACGGTCCGAATCTTGTATCCGTCTTTGCAAAGCGTGGCGCACAGCGGCGATTCTTGAGCAAAATCAATGCATGCAGGAATTAATTTCGATTGAAACTCAAAGTACCTTCCTTCCCCGGCGAATCCCGGCCATATCTTGACCATCGAAACCTTCCCCGAGTGAAGTGTTTTTCCCGTCAGCTCTATGCATCCCGCCAGGGTTTGTTGAAGCGTACCGGTCTGTGATCAGAGTAGAATTTACAAAATGGAAGATTAGATGAGGGATGTTGAGAGAGAGAAAGAGAAAATACCGATCTCCATGAGATGAGATTGGAGGACTTGAGTGAGTTAAAGGCGGCGGAGAGACCGTTACTTCCCATTCCGCGGCGGAACTGGTACGAGGTTTCTTACAACTAACCAAAGAGACCGTTTTTTGGGTTTTATTTACGTCGCAGTTTGAGCAAGCAAACGTCGTGTTTGTTTTCTAATTAGACTGCTTGTAAGCAATTAAAAATAATTAAAAAAACATGATCGTTTAAAAATGTTCTTAATTATTAACAAATTTTAAATAAATTTTTATCTTTTTGTTACCATCAATCGATACTTCCAATTTGTATTTTAAACTAAATATACTTTTATAATTAAGTATTGATTAATTATCACATTAATTAAAAAAATATTTATCATTTTATATCAAAATATTTTTTTTATTCACATAATAAATATATCACGTAATTATATTATCATATCACATCAAATACTATGCCATTATTTATATGACATATCAATATATCATATGAACTTACATAACATAAAATAAAAGATAATATTTTGACTAAAAACATCTAGTTAATCAACAATTGGTTACAAAAATTTATTTAATTTAAAATAAAAGTTTAAATATTTGATTAAATACAATTAAAGAATTAACATTATTTGAATTTTTTTTAAATTGTTCAGAAAATTTTTTAAGTATTAAGTAGAAAAAAATAATCCTAATAATTTCTTAAAAAAAACCTCCAGTTAATCTATTATCATCCAACTCACAGGTTAAATTTCAAATAATTTATTCATATTATTAAATATGTAACAAAATAAATTAATTCTATCAGGTATGGAAATAATGGTAAATCCCAAGTCAATTTAATCGGAGGAATTTTTTTTTTCCCTTTCATTTTGCTCTCATTTATGCAATGGTTGGATTTTATTTTAATTTCTATCTGGTGCATTGATTGGATTTTATGTTTATGCAAAAAATAGCAAAATACCACCATTTTTCTTCTTATTTTCTTGCTAGCAAATAACAAAAAGTAGCTTTTCCTTTGTACACATTTCTTTCCTCTCCTATCAAATTACATTTAACTATCAACCTTAACAAAACAAAATAAAAATGTTCAGCCATGGCATAAATGAAGAGAATGTAAGTAATAGAATTAGCAAATACAAATCCCACAGAACCAACCATCTGAGAAGCAAAGTGGGATTTCAATACAGAAAAGGCAGCAAGTGTTAAGAGTAAGGAAAATCATTGAAAAGCAAATAAAGAAATAGTTTTTGTATTTCTAATCAATATTGCTCTGAGAATTTTCTAAATGGAGCAAGATCTTATATAGAGAACTGAGGACATTCATAGCACAATTCCAGAAGATTCAAATAATATACAGGTAAGCTAGTTCATGTCAAAGAGGAGCAGAAAATATTGCTTATCGCTTCTGTGCTTTCCTACGTCTAGACTGTGCCTTCTGCCATTTCTTTTTGGGAACCAGCTTGCTCTTTGGTTTCAACTTCAATTCAGGTGAGAACTTATAGTTCGGATCCCTCATGTGTGCTTGAATATCCTTAAAAAACTGCATATCCAATTTCTTAGGTCCCCCTTGTCGAAGCTCCTCATACTCCGGCCCAGAAACAATATTTTCAAATGCTCCTATTAAAATGTCTATGTCACTCATGACTTCCCAAACATTAGTATAACGTCCATCCGGCCCTTTCTTCAGTTTCTTCAAGGCGTTTTCCACTGCAAGTTTCCTTGCTTTTTTTCCTGGGGACAACTCCTCGGGTTCCTTTTCAGATTTCAAAAGTTCCGAGATGGTCCGGTACTTAGGTTTTTCCTCAAACTCAAAAAGTTTATCTATATACTTATCACTAGTTTCATTACGGTAAGCTTCTGTAGGAATATCATCATCATCATCACATTCACTACCTGTCCACAAAGTCTTTTCCTCATCACTTCCGGACCATACGCTTCTCAACTCATCACTGTCATCAGCATCAATTAGCTCTGAATGCTCCTTTGCCTGCTGTCGCACTTTCCGTATCTCTCTCTCCAGGCGACTTTGACCATTTTTGGAATCAGTTTCATCATTTTCAGGATCACTTTCATCTTCACTACCAGTCCAGAAGGTCTCATCTTCATCCATTTCTTTCTGCCAGGCCTTCCTGAAATCTTTATCACCTGCCGTTTTGCTCCCAAAGAGATCATAATGTTTACGCCCTCCACGAGCATATGATCGCAACACTAGCAAACATTCAACAATACATACTAAGGTTGAGATACGACATCAACGAAACCAATGCCCCAATCATGAAATACAATGTCATTAAACTAATTAATCTACTCTGAAGCTTTATACTTGCTAGTTTACCAAGACCAAAAACTAGCATATTCCTAACTCACAAGTGAAGATTGCCAATGCCAAATGTAGCATTAAGGGTCATGATTCTTCAAAAGAAATATCCCAAAAAAAAAAAAGAAAACTAAAGTGAAAAACATGCAATTCGAAACTACCATATTTCAATCTCACAAGAAAAACCCACTATGAACAATACTCAATTAGCTTCTTTGTGTCAGTACTTTCCACGAATACATTGACCACATTTCACCAGCCTCCAGTCACATGCTAAACAAGTAACTAATGGCTTCTTCACATACATTCAAGCGATAAAATTCATCAAATCGGTAGCAGAAAATGACATTTTACGCGAATATAAATATATAACTAGTTTAAGTTAATAAGAGAAAAATCTGAAATGATAAACTGGAATCTTACCTTGAAATTTTGGGTAAAACCCACCGATTCTATGACTTGTTGGACCGCTTAGCACTGAATTAAAAGCAGATTCTGACCTGCAAGTAGAAAGGGTTTTTTTCTTCTTCTTTTTACCATATTTTCAAGAGAAAATTAAATATGGAAAGAGTTGTGAGTTTTGACCTTGAAAAGGAGGGTGGCAGCGAACAAAGCTTTGTAGTTGTGAAGGAAAAGAGGCGGGAACAGAGCCTACGGGCCATCGTTTGCGCTGTGGCGGCAAAGCTAAACCAAAATATAAAACAAAACAAGCCAATGAACCGGGTTTGTTTAATCAATAAAGCATGGGCCAACCCCTTATTATTATTATTATTATTGTCTAAAAATTTAATTTAATAATAATTACATGTATTTTTCACTTTTAGATTCTAATACCTTTTCTTCAATAATGGACTCTAATATTTTATTTTAGTGGCTCAATGGCCCAAAAATTAAATCAAAATTAGAAATAATAAATACATAATATTACGATTGATTGCCCGATCGATTCAATTTAAAGATTGATATTGAAGATCAACCTAAAATACTGTATAAATGGAGCAATAACTAATAATTAACAAACCGAATCATATAAATAGAATATAGTTCGATTCAATTAATTTAATCAATTTGAATAAAAAACGCAAAACAGATAATTTAAGATGTACAAGAGCTCTTTAGACTAAAAATGGAAAAACATATCTAGTCAAATATAACCTTCCATGAGCACTTTAGCATTTAGCTCATTGATTGGTGTATTATTTCTCTGCTAAAAAAGTAAGATTCGAATTCCCCTCCAATTATAAAATATATATCTATATATATATATAACCTTCCATGATCAAAATTTTGAACTTCATAAAACTCTGTTCATACCCTTATACATACTACATCCCTTAGGTATACAAGTCAGAACTGAAAAGGAATTTCCAAGAAGAAAGCTTGGACTCCATAAGTACTGGCAACTATACCTGCATCGGTAGAAGACCTTCAAGTGGTAAAGTAGAATTTTTCATGATTGAAATGATTTTCCATGCAAGCTTTTCATCTGCCACTGACCAAGAGCAACAAAAGAACACTACTTCAGAATCATTCTGAAGACTATCAGATATTCTATGAGGGCAATTGTCTTTCAAACAAATGGACAAACAGAATGATTCTACTTGAAGCTGTTCACCCAAATCTTGGAAGTTCCAATCAGAGAGTTCATTGGATAGTTTTGTTGATAATACACTGATCAAAGTGCATTTGTCAAGACTACAGAGCAAATCATCAGCAGATGGGAGGTCCTCGCTTCTGGTCTTCTCTAACCTTTCAGTACGCATTGGGAAACAATAAGCAAACTGAACCTCATGCTTGTTTTCTCCCAACATGTGCAGAAGCTCATCCTGGTGTATAACCTTTGCCTTTTTGCCTTTTTCCACTACTAAGATACCTTCAGCAACTCTTTCATCACTTACCTGCAGTCTTGGAATGGCCTTTGAGTCATTTGAACCAGAATAAGATTTATCCACTGAACTACTCTTTGAGAACTTGAAGTTTGGATTCAAGCAACTTTCGATGAATGCGTCTGAAGCATCTGCTTTCACATAGTGGGTTGTAGGAATGGTCACTGTGTCATTGTTTGCAGGACAATAACACTGGATTCCAAGTTCTGACTGAATTCTTTCTTTAAGAGTAGCCATTTTAGGCTTCTCACCATGTACAAGTATAGCATGCTTAGGTGAGAGAAATTTGACAAGATCCATAATTCCTTTGGCATCTGTATGAGGACTGAAAGATAGCTGATGAATCTGCAATACAAATATATGTTCAAGGAAATTATAAAGCAGAATTTATTTGATGCAAATGCATAGTAGTTTGTCATTTAATATAAGCCAAACTTTAATTGTAAGTTAAACCAATATGTTATCTGCCAATAAACAATCAGATACAACCATCATAAACTTGATGCAAAGGACATCATTAAACTTTGTACCCCCAAAATTAGAATATTAAAATTACTAATCAGTGCCACCACTTGGTCTTATTGAATAAGAGAAAACTAAGTAGTCATCAAACCATTTGTAAATTTAAGAACTCAAAGACTAGTCATTTTTTGAATTACTGTTAATCAATTTGTAATATTGCTATACAACATGACTTTCCCTTAAAACCACAGTTTGTAAGGACAGCTTTGTATGATAACAAGGTATCAAATTAGTAACTGGTTCCTTGACAGAGGCCAAAAAAACTTTGATACTAGTATTTTATCTGTATACTTATTATTCTCTTAATTTAGTTCATAAGAAAAGTTCACAAAAGTTTTAAGCTCAGCTGCCTTGGACAAGATTCCTTTTGCTCTATGCTCATTTGCTGCTCTTATTTATTGGTGAATATATACTACAACAGTTGCAAAAGGAAAAAATGGAAGGCATCGCAAAGGAAACGTTCAAATACATACAAATGATATCTTTTTAATCAATGGAGGGGCTGAATCATATAATGCTAAGTCAATTATATTTCAAAAACAGAAGCATTTTCAGAATCAGAACTCAGAAGTTGAATGCAGCAAATCCTTAAAATCAAATAAGCTGGAAAAAGAAAAGAAGAAACAAAGAGTTCATAAAGTAAGAAAGAAAATTAAATAATTTTAAGTTTTTGGAGATGAATATCAACCTGGCACCGCACATCAATTTGGGTGTCCTTGTCCAAATCAATTTTGGTGGGTTTACCTGACATTAACTTATGTCCTATTGTTCCAGCCACACAATACCTACAAAGGTAGAAAAATGAGAGTAATTAAATTCAAACAATAACATAATTTTACTGTGCATAACATCTCAGGTAAAACAGAGCAGCACAAGCACTCAAAATGGAGGTAGACCAATATGAACTACCAAAAAGGCAAGTATTCTTGAATTATTATTCCTGTTAAAGGAATTACAGTAGTCAAATATGATATTCACACTATTTATGCTTGACAAGAAGGATGAAAGGAATTCTTATTCGAGTAACATGTAATAACATACAGATGAGTGCAATCAAAATTATAAAAAAGCCACAATTGCCACAATTGCCACAATCCTAGGCTTTTAATCTGCAGCAAATCATGCGTGTCCACAAGTACTATGAATTCCAGCAAAACAATTAATGAAACATAATGCAATTAACAAAGTCATTGGTTGCTTTTGATTTTAAAAGTTTTGCAAGATTACTAGGTACAGTGCCATGCATCAAAAAGTAACTAAAAAACCAGCGATTCTAAGAGAGTGGCTGTGGCATATACATAAGATAATTTTTTCTTAAGTTTCAACTCAGAGATGTATGAGTAATAGCAGCAACTAAAGATATACATGCTTGATGAATGTACCAAGATTCATACCCAGGCAATGTGATCAGATTTATTTCAGAAGGTGCCCATTGCATGAAAACTTCAAGTGAAAACCCGCCACTAATCATACCAGGTGTTGCAAAGAGAACACAAGGTCCGGGAGCATTTATCAAAGAACGGTCAAAATTTTGAACTGCAACATATAAGCACAGAAGACTAGCATAAAATTATTATAGAAGAGATATTTTCCCCCTAAATGTTAACCCTTATATATTCATATAATTTGCTATGCTGCTTCATTCTTCAGTGAGAAAAAATAAGCTTCAGACAATTAAAAGATGAAAAATGTGTTACCAAAGAATCAGCTGAAGCAACTTTTACTTTCCTTGATTTCATGCTATCTTCAATACCAACTAAGAGACTTTTAACATCCCCAACTTCTCTGATTTTGCCTCGTCAATTCCAGAATTTTAAAAGGAAAACAAACTAATCGCTTCAATTAAGATTTTTATTATCCTAAAAACTAACAGCATCAATGACCTCTTTCTTTTGTTTTCTCCTCCTTGACAATGAAATGAGAGAAGTAAAGAATTGGTTTCAAAAAAATTCAATTTACTTTGCATACAATAGTTACGACAGAAACTAAACAGAATAGGATGAAATGTCTTCAATAATATTCCAAATATTACAGATCAATTACTAATGCAAGATACAAAGAAGCTACTTGAAGGATTAAACTATAAAAGATTATTTTCTGTTACTTTGTTATACTTTATGAGCTTTGTAATTACATTCATACATACATACATACACATGGTATTTTTTGATTACTTAAGCATTAGGACTTTAAAAGGTTTATTAGGCATTTTGTCTTTGTTTTTATATTAGGGTTTAGGCTGTAACCTAAGTACTATATTCAATTTTTGATACATTTTGGATTATGAATTGCTGAAATTTTGGGATATTGAGCCGCGAGATTTCCCTTGCTCTTGTTTCCCTCTGGTTTTTCTACCTGTTTCTTTCATTTCTCTTTCTCCCCTAATTTCCTCTATTACTGCCTATGGTACTTCTATTTCTTCACTTTTTCCTCAGATCCATGTTTGTCCCTAAATGCCACCCTGTTCAACATCAATTAGACAAAAACTGCCATAAAAAAGTAAATAATAATAATACAGAACTTAGAAATGGCTAGAAATGGAAATAAATTACTGCTGGCACTCATTAATCATTATTTCTGCAAGCTTAGTACCATTTTTAAAATCAAATGCATTATGCGTGGCATATGTCTCCTTAATCTTCTGGCTGGTCCAGTTAATAAGCATTTTATAATACATATTGGCTTGAATGGTCAAACCTGAAACACGATAAATTCAACTCATCAGCAGAAGTCACTATATACCAATTAACTTAAAATAAAGCTAGGAATGAACACATTGAGAACTTCAGTGAAATCAGTACATTTCCACCGTTGAGAATACAGGACCAAAATTCTGCAAAAACATGTTAAAGATGTCTGTAGTTGAAAAATGATCCCTACATGCAAGCATACCAGATATTTTTAAGCAAACAAAATAAGTTGACATAATATTCCTTGCCATGCACTAACACAAGCCCAGTCACCCTACCCCATCTGTTAAACCGGCAATGATCATAACAGCCTGATACATACACACAATCAACAAGCTTAGAAAATTCCTCTGTAGTCAAAATTTTACTCCAAAACTTCTTAAAAACAAACCATTAGACAGGGCGACCATTCAATGTTCAAAGTGTGATCTGCGCAATTGTTTGATGAGGAGAGAAATAAAACATAAGGAAATTACATGAACAACTTGAAGTGAGAACAAAATTTAAGAGATGTAATCTTTTAAAGTCAACTGAAAAGGTAATTTATAAATTGTCAGTAGGTTAAAAGAGTTGAAACAAGAAGACAGAGACTGTTATGACAAACCACCACTGTTTGAGCAAAAAGAAAAGCAAGTAGAAAATGTGCATTTTATGATATCGGGTTTCCTTCTTAACTAGAAGAGAAATCAATAACAAGGTATCTCTAAGCAATTAATAAAGGTCAGTTTAAATCTGCAAGGAAAAGGAAGTTGCAATGTGGAGATACCCATCATATGTTTATAAAATTGGCAGACCACTGATACCAGCCAAGGTAAAAATAATATACAAACAAGGCTTAAATTTGTCATTTGATTTTGATGTCTTGCCATCCTCAAGTAACCTCATCTAGGGTTAGTCAGCTTTTTCACAAAAGAAAAGAAGGAAATAAGATGGATATTACCAAATTCAGCCCTTGAAAGGACAAGAATGGAGAAACTTATTTCTCAGATGTAATGAAGAAAAATGCAGAGAGGAAAATGGCAAAATAGCTTGTTCACAAAAATTTTTGCCAATATGTTTACAAATACTTGTAAGTGTTTGTGTTCAATCTAACACAATTTTATTAGTTCCTGTAGTTTATAAAAGTTGAAAAGAGAGAAGAGGTTTATCAACTGAACCAACCCTTGCCAGTAGCTGACTTTGATTATACCTTGGAAGAAAAGATTTCCACAATCCAAAGATACAACATGAGATACGTAGATACCAACAAGGAATCAATCTTCAAAATTCACAAATCACCATAATATAGACAGAACAAATTTAAGATTCTGATGCCATATAATATGTCAATTTAAAAAAAAGAAAAAAGAACAAAAGGCCCCTTATATGAAAGTTAAACATAAAAGACGAATCACACCTGATGAGAAGTAAATAGGAACTTTTAGATTCATGCGCTCCCAATAATCTTCCAATAATATACAGAGTTCCTACGTGATGATCATTAATGGAACTAGAAATTATTCCTCAAATCAAGTTGTATAATACCAGAACACTCAAAATGAAGGCATCTATGACTAGTTAACAGCACTATCATTAAAGAAGGAAAAAAAATACCAATAGCTTCAGCAACTTGAATCTTGAAATACTAAATTTGGATCATGAAACTAAAGTAACAAAAAGTAAAAGAAGGAAAAATGTAGAAAATTAAAATATTTCTGTAGAGATGTACATATATATGCTACAACAGATAAAAATGTATACCAACCTCCTCCTTTCTCCAAAAGAAAATGCAAAAAAGAATAGAAACCAGAATGTAACTATGATGAAAAAGACTTAATCTGGAAGGGATAACCCATTGGTCTAAATTTTATCCATAAAACCATAAAAACATAGTAAAGAAATCGGACAAGAGATAAAGGGGAACAGGAAAAGGTTTTTAAACAAGAGAGATTTAGGACATTAAAAAGTGGAAGTCAATTGCTCTAGTTAAACATGTTCAGAGTGTAAATTACCCCCCAAAACCCTTTCCTATCATAATTTATGGTACTTTTCATTTCGAATTATACGAAAAAAAAAAAAAAGATCAATGAATCAAGTGAAACCATAAAGGGGAGGCTACCATCCTGTTAAGCAGATGCAAGCCACATATCACCATACATCATAACAAATGCACACAAGAAGCTTGCAGATTGGTTGACGGCTCGACTTCAAAATAAATCAACAGAAGAGTTAACAGAAAACCAATTCAATGCAGTAAATTCTTTGAATTGGCTTCCCTCCTGCTTAGTGGTCATTTGATAATTATGGGAATTTGGCACTGCTACTGGTTGGAGAATTTGGCGTTGCACTACAATGATTATATCACCCAAAGTATGAAAAGTGTGGAAGGACAGAAAATCAGAAATGATGACCATACAATAAAATTCTACAATGAGATGCATATATCATGCAGTTTTGCAGCTTAAAGTATAAGAAAAATAAAAATGAATGGTTAAATGGCAAAAAACCAAAACAAACTTTAATTGAACTCAGTAGCAAGGAGGAGAATATAAGGAGACATATTAGTATTGTATTATGATTGGAAGCCATAAAATTGGCAGCCTAAAATTCACATAAAAGTTTGTCTAACAAATTTTAGAACCTCATCGCCTACCTCTTTCTGTCCTGAATTTAGCATAGCTAAGGTACCCTCAATAATCTATACTAGTAGTTTGAACTTTTGTACTAATTAAATCATTTTATTAGTCAAACAGGTCATCACTACTCAAAATTAAAAATATATATTACTATATAATTAATACCTGAGCTCTTCCTAGAGCAAAAGTAGGAATAAGCACCTTCCCTCCAGCAGCAACACAGTTATGAACCTGCAGTGAAAGTTGGAAGAAGTACTAAACTAAGGCCAATAAACCAAACAAACAAATAAAATGCCCATAGAAAACATGTGCAGGTCAATTGATATAATCAGACTTCAACATTTATCTCTCTGTAGTCCATCACAACCAAAGTTTCTAAAGTAATTTTAATCATGTACTTCAGAGACCAACTAAATAAATCATCTAACCTCCAGTTTACAAGATCTTTGCTTAAGCTCTTTCTTCAAGTGAAGTAGTAATATATCTAAGCACATTTACTTACCTATTTGCATCCTCTGCACTTAAGCAACTAACACCATGGTATTCACAACTCCACAACTTCCTACTTCAGTTCCCCCAAAAAAGGAACAATGTAAAGGAAATAAGGAAATATCAAAATAACACCGAAGATGATGCAAGATAACACATAGAAGCCAACTGCATGTGGAATAGATACTACAATTATAGTGGTTTCAAAAAGCAAATAGCCATAAAGTCCTAGAGCAAAATTAAATTTCACTCCTTATTAATCATCAAGCTCTGCTCCTATCAACTTCCAAGTGTATTGAAGGAGGCCTAATGGACCCAAGGACTAATCAAATTGTAAATTTTGGATGCACTTCCCATTCTAGCTAAGATCATGACTTATGACGACATGACATGATTCATATATACAACAAAAACGAAAAACATTTTGTCCACCTTAAATATTGGTATCATGGAAGAGTACTCATGAAAGTTTTGAACACTCAGGATAGTAATGAAAATAACCAAAAAAAATTAAATTTAGCATCTAACTGACCAGATTTTGGATATAAACAAAGTGATTAGATATCTAGTTGATTTCTAATCCATTAACTCTAGTATTGGGTAAAATTATGTGACCAAATTTATATAAGAAAACCAATTAAGCAATGAGGGAGATGAAGAAATTACAATGATAAGATTTAGGCATTAGAATATTAAGTAATGAGGGAGACGAAGAAATTACAATGATAGGAGTTAGGCATTAGAAATATTGAAGCCACCTAGCAAATAAAAGAAATCACTCAACCTTACAATAAGAAACTGCTTATAGAGAGACACATGATCAAATGAATAGCATAACTCCTCCAGCCAAAATTATTAATAGTCTCAATGCTTGGCTAAGTCTTTCTATTATGTTTCAAACATCAAAGAGTGAAAATCACATGGACAAATGGCAGCTTCCTGTAACTTTTCTTAATGATATCCCTGTTTAAAGTAATTAACATGGTGCAGAAAAAAATTTTATTTAACCAGAGTCAGTTAAATAGAAAAAAAGGAACACAAAAAGCAGAGGAAAAAATGCCTGAAATTTTGAGAGTGGTGTAAACATACAGCTTTAAGGAACTCCCTCTCTCGGCCATATCTTGAATCTCGTATGGTTGTCGCATAAGTAGACCTGTTATTGGAATATTATCAGGAAACTTTTATCAAAATTTTGCACAAACTAACCTTTTTTAATGATCTGGCATGCAATTATATGTATACAAGGCTAAGGTTTCATAACACTATGAGAAAGCAACAGTAAGTCAAATTTAAGGGGGAGAAAACAGCACAAACAGTGACTGAAGAAATTAAAAATAAGGGAAGAAATCAGAGGTTCAAAACACCATAATTACAATGAGAGCTAAAACAAGCCTTAACGTGACAAATCGGAAGATCCTCTCCCCTCAGAAAACCAAAATAACAAAACGTGGCGCAGAAAGTCGCCTAGAAAATGAAAGAAATCCTCAAAAGAAAGAACTTATTAGAGCAATATCCATCAAAATTGAAGAAAATGAAAAGATAAGATGTTGTCAAGAATTCCAAGGAATGTTCTTCCCTTCATTGTTGCCTCTCACGGTCTTGACACCTGCCTAGCCATGGTGCAGGTGCCTGCCTCACACAACCATGAAACCTGCTTGGTCATGGCGCGAGCAGATGCCTCACATAGCCAATGCACCTACTTGCATATCCCTTCTTTAGAAAA